ATCAGAAAACGTCAGAAAACAATCCCCCCTGAAAGTAGCTGTCCGATGAAGCGTCCATGTCCGACGAGGCCTCCAGCTCGGGTAGGAGGCGCGTGGCACGGCGGGCCGAGCAGGACCAGTGCTTGCTAGTAGTCTCAGAGCGTTGAGCTAAGTGTCGCTTCCAACATGGCTTTTGCAAGTTTCCGCAACAGATTCTCTGCGAGGAATTGGCCACATTGCCCAAGCACATGCAGCCAGTGGACATGAACAAGCTTGGACCTCAGAGCCTGCAAACATGGACAGGAGTAGCAGATAAGCAGAGCCAAGGGAGTACCCGGCGTACGTGAAGGGCAAGAACGAGAACTGCATGATGCCGCAGATGGTGGGCGACTGGGGCACGCCCGTCCCGGGTAGCTACAAGGAGTGCGTGACCATGATTGGCCCGGATGTGGAGGTGGGCCTCTCCACGGGCACGCCTTGGGATCCGCTGGGCTTGGTCAAGCTTTATGACCGGAACTTTGACTTCAACGGTAACATGACCTTCCCACACGCACAGTGGATGCGTGAGGCTGAACTGAAGCATGGCCGATGCGCGATGCTGGCGATTGTCGGCATCTTTGCGCAGGGCTCCTTCCACATTGATGGCTACCCTGAGGCGCCTTGGTACGAGGCCCTGAAGCAGTGCTACGACCACCCGCAGGGCATCGTGGGGCTTGGCATTGCTCAGATCTCTGCTTTCGCCATGATCATCGAGGGCAAGTTCTTCCCCAAGGATGCTTGGATTGGCCAGATGGACAGGGAGCCTGGTGACCTTGGCTTTGACCCTCTCAAGTTTGCCAAGGACGACGCAAGCATGAAGTCCATGCAGCTGAAGGAGCTGAAGAACGGACGCCTGGCCATGATGGCCTTCATGTCCCAGGTGGTCGGCCACTACTTGCCCGGAAGCGTGCCGGGAGTGTCTGCTCTCGCCCGGGAGACGGCGCCTGCACAGGCCCCGGCTTTCTGCGGTGCCACCCCGAGCCAGTCTGAGTCGACTTCCAAGACCGCGGCGCGCTACACCACGCAGACGATCCTGCCCTCCCTGGCCTGGATCAAGACGGGCGTGAAGGCTTCCGAGCTGCAGCCCAAGCAGCTGAAGGCACTGACCCTGGCCGGCAACGACGTGCTGATCGGCAAGACGGAGGCTGGTGCGCTGTTTTGCGTGGGCAACTTGTGCCCACACATCGGCACGCCGATGAGCGAGGGCGCCGATGTGATCGGTGACGTCATCGTCTGCCCGCTGCACGGCTCCTCTTTCAAGGTGACCACGGGCGAGCTCCTTGACTGGTGCGTCTCCCCGCCGGTCATCGGCCCTTTGACCGGGCTGATCGTGGAGAAGAAGAACCTGCTGGTCTTCGAGGTCCGCCAGGGCGGCTTCCTGGGATCCGGCGATGTCGAGGTTCTCGTGGACACCAATGCCAAGAAGGCCTACGAGGCCTGGTACTGGAAGGGCCTGCTCGATGCCCAGGGCAAGGACGACGGCACCTACTACTGAGCTGCGGTTGACTGTACAAATGTCTGACGCGAGCCCGACTTTTTGTCCTGTCTGACTGCAAGCTTGGCAAGCAAGACCGTAAGGTACAAGAAGCGACACGTGACTTTAGCTGCTAGCCGTGCTGCACGAGCTGGTAGTCTAGACAGACCAAGCCCGCCTCAGCTTTCACAAAAAAGACACGTTCGGACCGTCCGCCTTCTGCAGCGTGGGCCATGATAGAAGTGATGTTTTTGCGCTTTCGCTTCAGTGGCTCCGTGCCTCCTTTTTGCACCTCCCCAAAGAGTGCGCAGCTGTACACAGAGCTATGGAGGCTTGCTGCCGCTGCTTGCTTCGACTTCTATGTGTTTTCGTGCCCCGGGAACATACAGCTGCGTACTGCTTCGTACAGGTAGCCTTCGTTGCGCCGTCTGCCAGCGTAGCGTGCCCAGCTGATCCCAGTGCCCCTGTGGGTTGTCAGCATCGATAACGAAACATGTTCAAATTTCGCCATCTGAGGCCAGCAGCTCAAGCCTGCAAGGAACCCAGGTCCCACGGACAGCTCTGAGAGGCAGCTCCGTAACTGGAACACTCGTTTTGAGCACGTGCTGTTGTGTCGGACAGTTTCATGCCTGTTTCACATGAAAGTGCTCTGTCCCTGACAGGAACGCAGCCGGAGAGTGGCTCGTTCGGGGTCAAGGCGCTTTCACATGCCAAAGAATGCCAGTTTGTTGCAAGACGTGCGGCACTGGCATGTCCTATGCCGTATCCAGGCAGTCCCAACATCGCCCAACCCAAACAGGACCTGTGACATCTGAGCCTTCAACTCCGAATCTAAAGCCATAGAAGTGGCTGGACCCAAAAGCACAAAACCCCAAAATCATCGAAAGACTCTCCAAAAGCGCTTCCAAAAGCCTCTCAAAACATGGCCGCTTCAAGCTCAAGCACAGAAACACATTACCTCGAACCTCGGAATTTGTCGCGAAACCCGCTCTTGTGAAGTTAGAAAGGTGGGAGAAGGGCACCGATAAAGGTTTTGCCTCCTCCAGGCTGCCGTCCTTTGCGGAGCTGCAGCAGCGGCGGGCCTTGCCACGCGAAGACGCACCATCCGCCGGGCGGAACAGGCAGGTTTCGAGGTTTCGGCTTATTGGCGGGATGTGGAGGGTACATTGGATACCAGTTTGTAAGAATGCTGATATTGCATGCTTTGTGAAGCACAGCGCAACTTTCAAGTCTATCGGGGCGACGGTTCTTGGCCTTGGCGATGTTCATGAGCACCACTATTATATTATGCATGTGGGGCTTGTGTGAAACTGATGATGAAGCGACCTGCTGCCATAGTGGCTGTGCAGAGGAGTTGGCCACCCTGCCCAAGCACATGCAGCCTGTTGACATGAACAAGCCGGATGCTCAGAGCCTTGAAAGCTTTCTGGCAACGGAATAAGTACAGTGCAGGAGCCTGGGGACCATTACGAATTTGGTGTCTCTTCGGTTCGGTCTGCAAAAGACATGAGCTTTGTGCTAGCGATGCTGAGGGAGTACCCGGCGTACGTGAAGGGCAAGAACGAGAACTGCATGATGCCGCAGATGGTGGGCGACTGGGGCACGCCCGTCCCGGGTAGCTACAAGGAGTGCGTGACCATGATTGGCCCGGATGTGGAGGTGGGCCTCTCCACGGGCACGCCTTGGGATCCGCTGGGCTTGGTCAAGCTTTATGACCGGAACTTTGACTTCAACGGTAACATGACCTTCCCACACGCACAGTGGATGCGTGAGGCTGAACTGAAGCATGGCCGATGCGCGATGCTGGCGATTGTCGGCATCTTTGCGCAGGGCTCCTTCCACATTGATGGCTACCCTGAGGCGCCTTGGTACGAGGCCCTGAAGCAGTGCTACGACCACCCGCAGGGCATCGTGGGGCTTGGCATTGCTCAGATCTCTGCTTTCGCCATGATCATCGAGGGCAAGTTCTTCCCCAAGGATGCTTGGATTGGCCAGATGGACAGGGAGCCTGGTGACCTTGGCTTTGACCCTCTCAAGTTTGCCAAGGACGACGCAAGCATGAAGTCCATGCAGCTGAAGGAGCTGAAGAACGGACGCCTGGCCATGATGGCCTTCATGTCCCAGGTGGTCGGCCACTACTTGCCCGGAAGCGTGCCGGGAGTGTCTGCTCTCGCCCGGGAGACGGCGCCTGCACAGGCCCCGGCTTTCTGCGGTGCCACCCCGAGCCAGTCTGAGTCGACTTCCAAGACCGCGGCGCGCTACACCACGCAGACGATCCTGCCCTCCCTGGCCTGGATCAAGACGGGCGTGAAGGCTTCCGAGCTGCAGCCCAAGCAGCTGAAGGCACTGACCCTGGCCGGCAACGACGTGCTGATTGGCAAGACGGAGGCTGGTGCGCTGTTTTGCGTGGGCAACTTGTGCCCACACATCGGCACGCCGATGAGCGAGGGCGCCGATGTGATCGGTGACGTCATCGTCTGCCCGCTGCACGGCTCCTCTTTCAAGGTGACCACGGGCGAGCTCCTTGACTGGTGCGTCTCCCCGCCGGTCATCGGCCCTTTGACCGGGCTGATCGTGGAGAAGAAGAACCTGCTGGTCTTCGAGGTCCGCCAGGGCGGCTTCCTGGGATCCGGCGATGTCGAGGTTCTCGTGGACACCAACGCCAAGAAGGCCTACGAGGCCTGGTACTGGAAGGGCCTGCTCGATGCCCAGGGCAAGGACGACGGCACCTACTACTGATGTCGCTGTAGTGCTCTACTTGGGGAGGATTCTAGCCCGCTTTCGGCCCTGTCTGGCACATGTGCCTTTGGGTTTCGGAATCGGAAAATCAGCGTCTGTGCCTTTGCAGAACCATAATCCTGCTGACCGTGATTTGCTGCGTAAGTGCATCTGCTTCGCTTCCAGATGTTCATCAAGAACATTCCTGCTTCGAGGAAGCAAGCTGAATCTTCACATTCGATTCAACGGATACTTTCCGCACTTGGCTGCCGGAGAGCGGATTCGCAGCATCGGGAGACAAGCAATACCTATAGGAGCCACGGCATGGCTCGGCTTCTTAGGGTCCTGTCTTGCTACACTCCTTGCCCATGCTTGCCTTTCTGTGAATTCGTTCAGATGGCGTGGCCAGATGTCTCGTACCCAGCTGCCGAACTATGCCTCGCCATGGTGCCAGGTGTGCTTGGCCCTGTCATTGGGAGGCTGCTCTCCTACAGTCTAGTGCACATCCACTGAAACAAGCCAAGCCTAAGCCAATCCGAAAGAAACAGCAAGCCTTACATGTTTCAGTGTTTCTGTTCAAGCTTCCGATGCATCCAAAATCAGTCACCAAACAGGATGGCAAAGCTACTGCACCGATGAGCGTCGGTCTTGCCTTGAACAAGGAAAGGGCTACAGACGTGGCAAACTCGTGGCAATTAAAACTAGCTTTCAGCTCCAGCCAACAGCCCGAATCTGCTAGCGACCGACACCGAGCCCCTCCGCGGTGGATTTCGACCGTGCCGCTTGAGCGATGGCCGTTCGCTTTTCTTCCCGAAATGTGGGGCTGCACGTGGAGGTGTCGGAGATGGAGGCTCGATGCCGTGAGCACGAGAAAAGATCCGACATTCACGTGCTTCAAAGGCATGTTAATATGGATATTCTGCTGCCATCACCAGGCTGCAACCAGGAGCCTTGTCCGCTGGCAAGGCGGCCCCAACAAGGCTGGCGCATGCTAGCAGCTGCTAGCGCTAGAATCGATTTTCATCATCCCGTCGAAGACTTACTTCTTCTCTTCCTTGTCAGGACTCCAAACAGGAAGCCTTCGAGCTTTACCCAGACCGTGGCTTCGACGAAGCTTTGGGCTTGTACCGGCACAAGCCTCCATGGACCCTGGGCAAATATCACGACAACCACAAAGAATCTAAAGAATCTAAAGTGTCTAAAGGCTAAAGTATCTCAAGACTCGGTGAAATTGAAAGAATCTAAACATCTAATCTCTCAGCTTCTCTATCCGGGCTGCTCGGTTGCATGGCTCTGTAAAAGCTTTCAGTTGTCCCGGGACATGAGGACGGCGCCAGCACCAGTATCGCAGCTCTCGCAACTACCTGGCCGCTCTGCAGCATCTCTCGTCATCAACTTATCATTTGTGCAGACTGTCTCGACACTCGTTTACTTCGACTTTTTACTTGACACATCTCGAAGTGAGCTGCAATGCCACTGAGTTACCGGGGGGCAAGTGCTGAGGAGAGACCCTTTTCGCGCTCGCTCGGACAGGGACCGAGACCTGTTCTGAACGGCTGTGCTGGTGGACGTTTGCTCTGCTGGTGCCTGATAGGACCTCGATTGTGGTTCTTTGTCCGCTAGCAAATCTGGCCAAGGGCGTCGTTGCATCTTTGCGAGGTGGGCATGTCAGATCATGTCACTCACGATGTTGCCAGCATGGATCCTGGCAGTGTGCAATCACTGAGGCAGCCAACGTGGTCTCGATGACTTTGCTGCCTGGCGTGAATCCAAGCTGTCTTGAGTCTTGAGAGGACGAAGTTTTCCTTGTCAGGTTATGGTTTGATGTTTGCAAATTCAGGGCAGCCCACCTGAGGAAGTTGTTATTCGCAGTGAGGGCGATGCAACAGATGCTTGGGCAGCCTGCGTCGGCATGTTTTTGCAATGTCATGTTTTACTATGTTTTACTTGTACCTGTTCTAGAGAACTTATGCGCACCTCATGCTTCGGTTTTCGTGCGGAGGGCGTTAAACGGGTCTTTCGAGGAGGCAGCTGTGCTATTGATCCTGGAATGCGTGGACATGGGTGCCGCCGCTGCAGCACGCCTAGCAGCGCAGGAGGTCGCACAGACTCTGCGCCAGAGCTGGCAAGAAGGGTGTGCTGCGTTTTTTGTATCACGTCTGTCTGCTGCATTGAGTCATATTGAGTCATATTGAGTCATTTGAAGCATTGTGACATGTCCTTTTGTGAAGGCGCTCCGAAGGGTGGCCCTTTCAGCTGCGAGCCGAGAAGCCGCTGCCGGAGCCACGGAGGCACACGTTACCGAGGCATACGAGGCATCTTTCGGGGCAACGGCTGGACGTGGCTTAGGTTTTTTGGTGTACACATATTGACATATTTGTTCTTGAGACTCTTGCTCTTTCGTCAATGGCTTCTCTGCGGTTTAAGCAGAGCTGCGCGTTTCTGGCTTTGTTTTGTGGCGGCTCCCCTGTTCGATCTCATATGCTTCACGCACAGTTTCAGTGCTCACGGCGACAGTTCCAGGTGTGAATGCAGGTGCATGCATACTTTTCTATAGGTCCGGAGGAAGGTTACACTTTAGTAGCTGCTCGTGAAGAGTGCAGGAGTATGATCGCGTGCCCTGGGGTGTCCTCTGTCCATCTCTGTCCTTGTTCGATGGTTACCGTCCGTGTTCCAGTTCAGGAGTCGAGGAAGTGTCTTTGATGATTTGCTGCTGCTGCTGCTGCTGCTGATGCTGATGCTGCTGCTGCTGCTGCTGCTGCTGCTGCTGCTGACTAGATGACCAGAATGATCTCAGGTGTTTGCATGTTTTGGTATTTTGGTTTCGGATGTTCCCGGGTTGTTGCCGGAGATCCGCCCTTAGGAGCTCTTTGCCCGCTGGGGTTGGTGCTCCTGGGATGCGCACGGCGTCGCGGTCAAAGCCGAGCATTTGGAGGATCGGTCACGAGAGTTTGCAAGTTTCCTGGCCTTGTCAGTTGATAGCCTCCTAGCCATCCTAGCCCTGCAGTCAGGCCATGGCAGCAAAGCACTGCCCTCCCTGGCTGGTTCTCGACGATGGCTGGCAGGAGGTTGAGAAAGGGTGGGAAAGCATGATTTCGCAACGCAAAGCAAGAGTTGCCTGCATTGACTCTGCAACCTGATTTCGTTGGGCACAGGATGTGAATCCAGCAGAGTGGCGGCAATGGCAGTGGACTCACTTTGGGACTGCTATGACTGCTGAGTAGTCTTCGCACCTTGAATTGCAGGAACTGCAATGCCAGTGAGCCAATGATCTCTTGCACCAGAGCACAACGGTCAGTTCATTCTGAAATGCCCCAAATAAAGGGACAAAAGGCCCTGCATTACAGGGGGCCGGTTTCCCAGGCTGCATACCCCGCAGACTCGACGGCTGGCGCGTCCAGGCTTCGGGTCGCTTCAGGACGGGTGCCAAATCGCATCAACTTCACATGCTAGAATCGAGCTTGATAATGCTCAGAAAAAGACAAAGTGCAGTCCTCCAAGACTGTCAAGTGGAGAGCGTTCGGCATTGTCTTGGCAAGTGATGCAACGACCAGGATCTCGTCGGAACCCTCAGACGTTCTGGCCCCTCGTCACTCTTTGAGACGCCAAAGGTTCTTGGAAACGTGGCTTTGACGTTTTGACACGCCAACCCCCAGCAGTCTCTTGCAATTCTCTTTTTGTTTGTCTGCACAGTATGATGAAGTCTCTCATTGGCACCAAGGCTCATCTTTGCTCGTTTGGCACACGTGGCCCGACTCACCAACAGTTTTGAACAGTGTACCATGCTTGGTTACAGCGGTGCACACTGTCCTTCTGATCCTTTTCTTGTCGAGGTTGCTGGGCTACTGGGGAGGTGTGGCTGATGGCCAGGGCTTTGCAGTCGCACGCCGACGGCCGGTCTGGCCGTCTGGGCTTCAGGCAAGCCAGTGGCAAGCCAGTGGCAAGCCAGTGGCAAGCCAGTGCCTTCGCCATGCTTGTGTGACATCGCTCTGTCCCTTCAAGGAAGGCTGCCCGGGAGAAGTGGACGTTTGGGACGGAGACTTCTGTGCCCTTGAGATGGAGGCTACATGACTGCAAGCTGAAGAGATTACTGGCCTGGGATACTGAGCTGACTTGGCTTTGCGAGATGAGGACGAAGAACGATTCTACGAGGAACCTTGGTCAGGAAAGAGGCAACCGGCGAGAAGCCAGAATGAGTTAAGGGCATCCCGGCATCCCTTCCCAGCTTTCTGTGCATCCCTGGACTTTACATGTTTTCCATGCAGTTTCCATGTCTCTCTCAGTCTCTCTCAGGACTTTTACACCGCTCTTGCGGACGCAGGGGTTGCCGGAGTGAAGTGTGATGGGCAGTTCCTTCCAGAGGCCCCGGAAAGGAGCCATATTGATGGTTCATACGTTTTCATATATGCTCATCAGTTCATCATCTTTTCAGATGGTCGGCAGGTTCTAGTCGGCGCCCAGCGTGCTGCAAAGCTGGCCCAGACGCAGGCGCTCCTTCATCACTGCTGTGACATTTTCCCGAGTGATCTGCTCTGCTTGCGCCTGCTTGCGCATTTTTTGGTTTGGGGCCCCCAGAGCCACCCAGGTCTCTGCTTTGGAGGTGAGGCGAGGGGAAGGTGTTGGGCGGTGGCTAGGCCTTGCAGAAGCCCAGGCCGCTGCCGCTGCGCGTATGGGGGGCCGTGCAGCTTTGCCGCACTGGCAGTCGCAGCATGTCCCACATGTTGGCACAGGCTGATTTTTGGGATGTTTGCGGGATCGGCGGTTTCTTGCTTAATTCTGTGATGCTCCATGATGCTCCTACAGCTGCGTGATGTGTCATGTGTGCACTAATCGTTCATGCAGGTCATCAGTTGCATGGCAATGACGCTTCCTTGTGTCCATGGAGGGTCTGCTGTGCCAAGCTTAAGCAGGTGGTGTTGTGTGCAGTACGGGAGTTCAGTTACAGCTGCCCTGAAGACCGAGAGCTCTTGACAAAAAGTACTTATCAGGTGCTTACCCGCGTCTCCGACGATCACGCCTACCCGGGTGTTCCTGAGGATGCAAGGCCGATGATGTCATTGGGCAGCAGCACCCGCAAGAAAGCATCGAACCTAAAACCAAGGTCAGTTGCTCGTCACATCTGGCACTGTGCCGCCAATTCGCTGTGGCTTTCGCCCTTCGTGCACTGCGACTGGGATATGTGCCTTGGACACAAGCATGGCTTGTTTCAGTCTCGGATAGTCTCGGCAACTTGCTGAGCGACAAAGGTTTTTGCTTTGGTGCTCCTGAAAAGAACATGGTGCATTTGTACTTGTTTCGGGCATAGCCCAAAGCAGCGGCACTACGCCACGCCTCTCCACTGAGTCGCCAACACACGAAGCCCTTACCACCACGCCAGAACTATCCCATTTCCATCGCCGAGTCCTTGAATTGGATGCCTTTCGCAGATTTCGTGAATGAGGGCATCCCCCGATGGCACATCCAGAAGAGGTCGAAATTTTAAACGTCGAGCCGCTTTACTTCTCATCCACCCCACTTCTTGCAGAAGCCTCCTGGCTCCGACACGCCGAGGTTGAAAACGGGGGAGTGGCACTCGGGCATCCACGCGGCGGCGCGCGCTGTGGCGGGCTGCCTGGCCCCGGGGCGGAAGCAGGGTCTCTGCAAAGAAGGACTTCGAAGGCCCCGAAAGGGGGCCTTGATCCGTAGGCTTCGAAGGTGTGGGGCGTCAAGGGTGTCAACAAGAAATTGCTGCACAAAACAGAAAGCAGCGCACAAGAGAAGCAACACTGACCGTGGGGTGTGGGGCTCTGGTCTTTCGGAGGTTTAAGGGGTTTGGACCGTCCAAGCCAGGTTCGGCTGATTGAAGTGCGGGGAAGTTCTAACTACATGAATGTCATGAATCCTCATGACAGCATGTGGAACAGTTGCCAAGGTTTACGTCAGCGATCCTGCAGAGAGTTTCGACCCCGAGGCAGAGTGCAGCAAGATGCAGCAAGATGCAGCAAGACGCAGCAAGACGCAGCAAGACGCAGTGAAGGATTGTTGGAGTTGGAGCGAGCAGGTAGATATTTGATTGAACTGTTTGGACTGTTTTTGGCGAGGTGTTGCGTCCGCTCCTCCTTCCAGATGGCACTGGGCTCGTGGTCCCTTGCCAGGCGTGGGGGTCTCCATGGGTCTCCAAAAGTCCAAAAGGCTATCGAAATCGTTGGCTTGGACAGTCTAAGTGTGGTGAAGAATGCACCCACCTCGAGCCGCGTTAAGTATTACCAAAGCTTCCTGAGATGTGCACCTGTCTGGAATTTGAAGAAGCTTATGTCACCCCTGTGGTGAAGTCTTCGGCCGTTCCCATCGAGCGCCACGTCTTTCTGGACCCGCTGAGCAGGGCAGAGCTCGTGTGGCTCCGAAACGAGACCAAGGGTGGGCATTTTGGCCGAAGTGTTGAAGTGTTTGAATAGAGCCTCGCATTTACCGCCATGTCACCTCCGACTGCAGACGCAAATGCGAAATGCGAGCCGAATACACACAGAGCTGGGACATGCTCTTTACAGGCACATTGCTGCGGCTTTCGGTCTGTGCGACACACAGGGGGAGATCATGAGCTCCACCTTGTGACCTGGCACGAGCTCCACATGATTCCACGTGATTAAAGATCTGACTACATCTCACTCACCTGCGCATCCGAGGTATCCAGCCGATGTGGATGAGGAGCGCGAAAGCCTCTCCTCAGTTATTTGGCACCACGAATGCGGACTGCCGCTCAGGAGCCGGGCAGCCATGCCTGCCTTCAAGTAGATCCTCGTGGACTGGGACATGCTGGGGAATTTACTGCGAAAGGCCTCCGCGGAATGTTTGCCCAGGGTGGGGGCGTATCTGCGGATCCGGACGTGAGCAGAGCATGCGCAAGCTTTGGTGTTTTTGTTTCCGCAAGGCTGGGATGTGCAGCTGCATTTCATGGGTTTCATGGTGCTTGCCCCTTTGTCGAAAGGATCTCCGTGTGCATATTCCTACGTTCGTAAATGCAAGTGCAGTGATCGACTTCCCCCCAAGGCTCTCGCACCCATCCTCTCGCTCTTCGGTCAACGGCTAGCTGTGTTTGGGCTTGTCGTGGCCTCAAGTTCAGACAAAGTCCAAGAAGACTCCGGAGGTTATGAGTCGATCACGAATCGAGTAACGCCAAGCCTTCAGGCGGGAATCTGGAATCCCACTGGAACACTTGCCGAACCACCCTCTGCTGGCAGTGATGGTGCTGAGCTTAGCTTAGCCAAGGCCTCTGGTGGCTTCGGCAGCAGCCATCAGCAGCCTTTCGTCTTGCTTGCGTGCAAGCTGCTGAGGACTCAACGTCCGCTTGCTGTCGGCTGGACGGCTGCTTCTTGAAAGCAGCAGCATCTGCAGCATCTGTGAAGTCCCGGTCTTGCAGCTGCTGGTGTGAGCAGACTTTTTCACCCCATATTGCCCAAATGATGGCTCATCGAGCCAAGTAGTGCTTGCTTTGCTGCTGAGGCTGCTCTGGAGCGAAGGCGCACTGTCTTTGCTGAGTGCTGCTGGACCAGTGTTGCTGGGCTAAGCAGAGGTGTTATGCATGTTTACGGTGCTTGCGCGCGGTCGGCGCGCACAGTTTCTGATGTCTGTGGCTGAGGATGCTGCAGCCTGGGTTAAACAGCTCCCTGGAAGCATATCAACCACGTGATGGTGGTGGAACATGGCTCTTTGAACACATACGAGAGCGACAGCTCAGGTCTTGATGTGTCAGACACGCACATCGTCTTAACAACCGGGGTGTGATTGCCGGAAGTTCCTCTGCAGAGCAGAGGAATGAGCTAGCTCTGCAAGCCTCCGGCCGAAGTCTGGCCAGTCTAAGACGTGTGTAATCGTGTGTAAACCCAGAGCTGTGTGTAAACCCGGAGCTGTGCTGTGTCTAGCGCCGGGTGCTCTGAGAGGCTCCAGTCGTCAGCGAGATTCGTCTAGTACGTAGCTTTATTCAGTGCAAGCATGATGCAGGACCTGGAAGGGCTTCTTACATTGTCGGTTCAATTGAACTTTCAGCCTAGGCTTCGGCTAGTTCTTTCTGTTTCGAGCCAGGTGTTCGAAGTGCAGCGCAGTTGCGACAAAGAATGGAGTTGTCCAGAGGCAGCTAGCAGCTGGCGGTGTCACTTGTTCGTATGGCTTGAGAAGCTGCGACGAGAGCAGCCAACGGCCATGTTAACGCAGCATGAGCACGTGAGAAATACAGCAGAAGCTTCAGGGTATGTTCAAAGCATTGGAGGAGGGCTTTGACTCGAGCCGCCCCATGTAGCACAGAGTATGAGCTAGTGGTGTCCAAGTGCATGCACAGACGTGCGCATCCCCTTGTGGAGCTGATTTTGGTTGAGGCTTTCCGAAGCCTGCTGCAGTAAGATCTCATGCGTGGACGGACCAGCTGGTTCTCAGTTTGCACAAGGAGTCTTGTCTTCCAGCCATGTTGATCTCGAGGGTGATTGTAGCTCATTGTAAATGCTCATCACGGATTGTCCATTATTGTCTATGATTGTGGTCCATCAAGATCTTCCATCATGATTGCTGAATGATTGCAGCAGGAAGCACGGCGAGGAGATTGTTGACATGCAAACGGCTATTGTACACAGACTGACAACTCGAGAAACGAGACCTTGAACTTCCAGCCTCACTAGCAGACTGTCAGTGCAATGTGCGACCCGCAAAGAGCTCAGCAACAGGGGCAGGGTCGGGGCAGGGTGGCACGAGTGCAGTCACGTACGTCCTCTCCAAGCTGGTTGTTGTCAGCATGAGATGCTATGCGTACATTCGAGGCTGTCACTTTGGCCGTTCTCGCCCAGCGGGCTGTTTTGTCGGCCACGCTGTCGGGGCTCCAGGTGTTTCTAGCATGTAGAACTGAAGCTGTGCGCAATGATTATCATGCGAATATGAGAATCGTAGCGGTCATGGGGGTGCTGGAACTTGATGCAGCTTCGGTAGTTCAGTCCACCTAAGGTCATCGACTGCTAGCTTGCTCGGGGCCAGGGGAGGTGCGAGCCACCTCAGTGGTGCTGGTTCTGGTCTTGCCTGTAAGTTGCGTCCATGGCTTGGAATATCGGGCCTGGTCTCCGGGTCTCCTGTGCAGTTTTGGACCGCTTGGAGTATCGGGGACCCTTGGGGAATTTGCGGGAAAAGGTCAGTCACATGTGAGGACCTTCTCGCCCTTGTAGTCCTCGGCTCATGGGTAGCTTCGTGTCTGTGCTCAACCTCTTGTAGCCCCGCAGCGCCCACGGGAGCCAACACGGGGCCCACGGAGCTTTGAAGGCGGGAAGATGCTCTTGAACTATTCTTCACTTGTGTTGGGGCGTTGTCGCGTGTGAAAGATGTGGAGATATGTGGAGGCGTTGCCAAGGAAAGGCGCTCCGGTTCGAACCTCACGAGACGGCCAAGCCAAGGGATCTGATAGAGGTTCTGTACGGAGACAGTGACAGCATGTTGCATGGCCGAGTAAGAGTGCGGAAGAAATCAGTCCTTGTACATGACTTGTGTCCGGGCCTAGACAGTTCCTTCCGCAGCCATCGCCAGTTTCTCATTCTCCTGTCTCAAGTGTTTGTCCGCCCAAGCGCAACTTGCGCTTGAACTGCAGCTCGACTGCGTTGGAAGGCTTATTTGTCCAAAAACATAGTTTGTAGTCCTAAACCACCGGGCTAGCGGGTAAAACAATGACGAACACCACTCCTTTGAGTGCTCTGAGTGGTCCAGCGCAGTTGCTCCGAGGCATCTGCCTTCTTTCTCAAGGCGAATTCACCCTTTCTGGGGGCCCCGCAGCTGCAAGAAGGTCAGAGGGCACATCGCGGCACGGAGAAGGGGTTCTCCCGGATCTCCCCCCCCCATTGTGCCCTGGTTTGCCTCCTCTCGATTCCCCCATCGCGCAGCGCTTCCGCGCTCGGAGCGCTTCCCCCCGCAGAGAGCGCTGTTCTTTTCTGTCGACTCAAGGCTTGGACAGGGCCTCCGGAATTTCAAGTGCGGCGGCCACATCCTGGAGAAAGAATCGCGCAACATGTTACCGTTGCTCTGCAACAAGTCGGCATCGACGACTGTTCGCGAAAATTGCCCCCACAGCACGCATGCCATGGACGGAGCGAAATGGTATGGCGATTTTGTTGAGATGCCTCGCACCAAATCTCCAACATCTCGCAAGCTTTGCTTTCTTTGTTCCTTCGCAGGATTTCCGTTCTGCAAGTCTCAAAAGGGGTGCGGGAAATTTGTTTGCCAAGCATGTTTTTTTTTTTTTTCTTTTTTTTTTTCCGTTTTAAGGCGCTTGAAAAACCCTCCCCCTCCTCTCCTCCCAAAAAGTCTGTTTTCCTTCCGAGGGTTTGGGGGTGTCTAAAAGTCAGGGGGTCGTACGTGTGCCGGGGTCGGGAGGGTCTTTTTTCAGGAGGCTCAAGAGACGGTCTCTCATCGTCACCGGATCCTTTTATATCTATGAGTCTATGAGTGTAGGGATACTACTGGCCCGAAAGCTTCTGCGAATTGAAAATGCTTTTGGGCCGGGATCCTGGGGCCTGCCGATATGAACATTCTCACCACACTTCTAAACTAGGGGAGGTCCCAGGGGGGTTTCAGAAGGGTCCACCCGGAAGCATTCTTTTGGTTGGTCGACGTTTTCGTGCCTTTTGGCGTGGTCTCTGTGGGGGGGCCCACAGCCTGCCGCACCGAAGTCTTGGAAACTTCTCCTACGCCTTGCTCGCGCATGTTCAGCACACGAATCAGTTGAGGTTTGCTGCTTCAGCCAGCGCCAGTGTTCCGACCCTGGCCAGATGTGTTTAGGGAAGGTTGGAGTCTTGTGTGCAGCACAATTCTGTACATGAGGCACGTTTTGCAGCGATGCCGATCCCTCCGAACGCGATGCTGTCGGAAACAGAGGTGGTGTCCTTACTCCCGGCACCGCGTGCGCAAACACTTGCGCATGCCAACGTCAGACTGAGCGCATGATATGATGATTTGCAGAACTTGCCGAGGTGCCCTCGCTGCCAATGAACCTGTCATCAGAAGCTGAATTAAAGGAGTCCTTTGGTTAATGACAGTGTTCATCTCACACTGGAAGGCTGCAGTATCTGCAAGTCACAACGCCAGGACTTCCTCGAGTCTTGCAATGTGAACACATCAAAGTTTGGAACGGGCAGCGCAAAAACCATGTCCTGGCTCTTCCAGGCCTTGATTGGGGGGTTCATGGGGGTTCAGTGATTTCTGTATATTTCTGTTCCGGGGAAGGGCGACGATCAAAGGGCTTGGGCTCGAGGTTGGGAACGGATGAACTGAGATTGCAGGAGCTGAAGGAGGGCAGCAGCTTCCTGGAAAACCCTCAGTACGACATGCCTGAAACCCAGCACAATGCACAGGTTTTGATCTTCTGCTGAAATTCATGGCGGAAAGGTCGTGTTGCGAGATGGCGATAAAGTCGCGTAGGCTGCTGATCTGAGGTTGACTCCTGGGCACAAGAGCATGCGCGTCCTGCGAGTTGCACCTTGGCAAATCTCCCTTCGTTTTATCGGAGTGCTGGAATCTACCGGGCTGAATTTTACAAATATGTTCCCAGGCGTTGCGCCGTGCATGCTCGCAGTCAGCTTAGGTGGAGCCGATCTTCATTCGCTTGCGTTTTCGCAGCCGAGTGCTGGTGCAGGACCGTGGTGTCCCAAAGGCTTTTCTGCGCAGCTCTTGGGAGTTTACGTTTGCTTCCAGTTCAGGAACGCTCCAGTCGGCTAGCTGTCGCCAGGAGAAGCAGCAGTTTCCAGACGGACGTTCGCGTATCCGAAACATGCTGCTGGCAGAGAAGAAGGTGAGCGCTTGTGACAAGCTTGTGACGAGCTTGTGACGAGCTTGTGACATCTAGAGAGCAATCGCTCCCGCCCCCGCGCCCCCTGCGTCTCCCCCCGCAGCTGATGTCCACTGCACCAGTACTGAACATTACTGAACATAACTGAACCTCAGGAGCCTCGGGACTCCGGTGGCCTCCTTGCAGCGCATCTCGGTAGCACGAAAGTCAGAAAAGTCTACACTTCGTACTCGGGCTCCCTCTGGCCTTGCCCAATTGTTCCGAGGATTCATCGGGGCATCCACGAAGAGCTCGGAGTCTCTTACGAGGAGAGCGTGATTTCAGCAAATCGCTCTGGCCCCCTCCGGACTACCGAGCCTGTAATCTCGAGCAGAGTTTATGGGCAAGGAGTGCATATTCTTGGCAGGATCTCAGCCGCGATGATGTTATTCGCTATCGTCCGGTGCACATGGTACCTTCTGTTGCCATGCCATTGTCTAGCCAGCGATGGTGATGTTCGTGATGACCGAGGTCCAGACACATACCACTTCGAGATTGAGCAAATAGAGTCCCCTTCGTATCCAGGCTCGCCCTGTTGGTCATGTTGATTTTGATGGTGCAACTGTTCCTCGCGGATTTGTACGAGTCTCAAGTGGTGGGGCTGATGATTCAGAAGGTCTACTGTAGTGTTGCAGGTTCAGGGTTGGATTTCTGATGATATCTGTGGGTGATAGGTGGGCGGGTCTGCACTACCAGTGGCCCGAGAACGACACTCAAGGCATCAAGCCTGTATCGGCCCCAGACGCAAAATCAATGTATCAAATCTGTATTAAGCGGAGATTCTCTGTATCGGCCCAAGTAGGTATCCAGCTTGCGGAGGTCCAAAACGAAACTCAAGGTATCAAGGCGGTATCGACCCAAAGAGAAACTACAGATGTGAACTCTCTATTGCCCCAGCTAAAAGATAATAAAAACAAAATGATGGCACCAAGTCTGT